GGTAGCATAATTGGTCAGTGCATTCGTCCGGATAGCGAAGGGTACAGGTTCGAGTCCCGTCCGCTGCCTGGTCCGCGTGGATTTTTTTTAGGAATTGATCCCCTAATATAGTAGGGTTGGCAACCCTAATCACGTCATTACACAGCTAAACGTCACAATGATTGCTGTAGCAGCCAGTAATGGATACTTGACAATTGTTAAAATCCGAAGATATTAGATCAGAAGTGAGATTTCATCTTACACAATCGACATGCTGGTCCGGGTAAGTACAGAAAAAACATCTACCTATACCTATATAAATAATACAATGCACCTATAAAAAATACTGTTTACGGACGACGGCGCCTTTAAGAGACACACCGCTGAACGGACCTCACACCTGGTTCCCGCAAGCCTTACAAGCCCCAGCAGTGGCTACCCACTGAGGACCCCGTAACTCTTAAGAGCACTCTACGGCATAATATACGCTAAAAACCCTGCGAATACCCTCTTAGCTGCTTAGCGCAAAGCCGCGGGATACCCGTTTAGGGATTCTTCCGCGTAATACACCTTATAAACTGCCATTATATGAAAAACTTCTATGCATTTTTCATTAAAATTTATCCTTATTTATCATTATGGCACTATCTCCTTAAAGTTTTGGTGTTAGCTCATTGTCTTTGTTATATTTACATTTCGTTTTGATGTTATTGTATGCAATGCAGTGATTGCAGATAAACATGAATTTATGTAAATATGTCCCATCATTACACGTGTAGCGAATGACTCATACTATTATATGATTATTTATAATAGAAAACTAAGAAAAGTACTAATTATAGTTATATTTTTATTTTTTATGCTATTTCTTTCTTGTTGGTAATGTTTAATACTTGGAAAGGTATTCATTTGACATTGTGGGTTACCTACAATGCAAAGAGATGGCGCTGCCTTGCAGCTTATGAAATACTATAATGAAAAAAAAATTGGACACGCACAATTAGGGCAGTGGTAGAAAAATGGTCATTGCATCTGCCCGGATAATGGAGGGTGTGGGTTCGAGTTCCGTCTGCTGCCTGGTCCGAGTGAAATTTTTTCTAATAAAATTTTCTTTAATAATTTATAAGTACTAAAAAGAAGTTCTATGACGAAATACCGTAATAATTTATCCGATATTATCAACCGATAATAACGCACCTATGAGCAGGAGACTTAATAGTAGGTATAGGTAGAGTCTGCGCGGAAAGAGAATGGGCGTGGCGAAAAACGGAACTAACATTAAGATTCTTATTTAGCAATCAAACCCAGCAATCTGTAAAACGTCAAAGTTTTGTATTGATATGGATTTGTTTGTTGTTGTGATTTCTTGCAGTTTTTTGTATTTAATCATGTCTAAAAGGGGTAAAACCTTACAAATACGGTAGAAAAGCACTACAGCGCCCTCCAATCTAAATCCCATTCTCTTTCCGCACAGACTCTAGCGGCAAAATTCTTAAGCCAAACCACAAAAAATAAACGTGCGCAGTAGACGTTTTTGTATATAAAGTTGCTACTGCACAGGCTTCCCCATCTATGGTCGTTGCTCAAGAAGCTTGCGGGGATGTATAACTGACGGTAACTGAGTATATAAAATAAAATAATAATCCAGTATTTTTGTAATTTACAACGCAAAAATGGCTTAACAGAATTAGTCGAAATAGGTAAATGTACATATTTCCATACCCGAAATTATATAGGATTTTTTGGGGAATCCCAAAAAAAAAAATACAATTTTACTTATATAATTAAGCGCAGATTTTTCAATGTCTCATGGAAGAAGTCGCTGATAAAGTTCATTTATAAATATATAATTTTCTGGTAACTTTCACTGGTTTTAAATAGCAAGTCCACAGTTAATTCCTGACTTTGGACCTAAACCATTGGTTCCCAATAAGTTTTTTACGTACCACTCCAAGAAAGATCTCAAATTCGCGTACCCTTTATTGCAGTAACGATTAATAAAATATGAAATTATGATTTAATATCTTAGTTAAGAGATTGCTGCGCGTACCCCTTGATACAACCTCGTGTATCCCTTGATGCAACCCCGCGTACCCCTGGGGGTACGAGCGTACCACTAATTGGGAAACACTGTCCTAAACAAAAGTGAATTTGGAATTTCCACCTATTCTTGTGAACTCACAAGGGTAGATTTATTTCCTATTTATTAACGTTTTGTGTGCTTTATAAACGATCCACTCGAAGAGATTACTATAACTGGAAATATTACGCATTAGAATTTCTACCATAGCTATCTTTCTTAATGAGTAATTGTTATGACACATAAATCGCTAGCCGTTAGCTAAATCCTAAGTCTATTCCTACCGTAAGCAGTTTTTTTTATGTGAAGTTGACTTAACTATGAATATTTTTTTTAATTCCAGGGGATAAGGAAGATTTAATTATTATATAATTTAGGTTCGTACCAAATAATCATCCAAATATGAAATACTGAAAGGGATCCTAAATGTCCAGAATTATGTTAAAATTCTCTAAAGCGCGTTCCGTATCCGTTACAAAGTATTTTATTAGATTTAATGACACCTTTTTGATTACTACAACAATTTAAAGGGTTTTGTGAACCAGTTATGAATACTACTAAATAGTTTTCTGAAACAGTTATGAAAACGGATAAAATATTAGTTTTGCTTAACCAGTTATGAAAAAGTAAATAATTTTTTTTCTCTCATAAATGGTTACGAAAATTGACCAAAGGAAAAATTCAACATGACATTGAGTCCAACTGTGATCATACGCTAGTTATGGTATGGCTAATGCGAATGCCTCCATAGTTCGGAGGTTATTGTGTGACGCATGGTCCGTCCGTCCGTCCTAGCACTGTTGACACATCGCGTCGGCAAACAGATAACCCGAATAAATCAAACATGCCGGCGAGCGCGGACCGGTCGCTCACACAATGCGATTTTGAACGTTGTTTATGTAAAATTTTGTTGTTAGGAATTGACACAATGTTATGGAAGTAGGTAATGATCTGTTGTGTTATTAAATCGACATTATTCTGGTGTACTAGTCGCGTAGTTTGAATAATCAAAATGCCATTAACTCTGTTTTTGACTGGTTTAGAAAGGATGAGGCTCTCAATTCGTCAGTACAGTTTTGGATGATTCTCTTTTGTTTCTTAATGAGAGAAAGAGAAAAAATATGGTCTATTAATAAACCTAAAATATGCACACATGAACCTTTGCAAAGGAATTGAAGATATAAGGAAAAAATAGAAAGTCAATTTATATATTACTATACAAACGATGTTATTAGTCACAAAACGTGTTATCTCACAAACGATGTCATGAATGTCAAAACTTTATATTATATTCTGGCAAGCTTTCCAATGTTTGTATTTTTTTTATTAGATTTATTCATGAAAACTAAATACAACACTTATTTCTATTCTGCCAAACTGTGCAACAGTTTGCCAGCATTGTATGCAGATAAAGTGCATGAATAAATACAACTTTAGGGCACGATTCCTTTAATTTCAAGAGGCAGTACAGTCGCTGTCATTGTTATACCTACAATTAATATTGGATACACTTCTAATCATTGTTGCGAACAAACAAGATCTATTTTGTATCTTTTCTTTTGTCATAGCCCTGACTATACATTGTACTACAAGTAGGTCTTAATGTAAATATTTTAAGTAAACTTTTCACATAACAATAGTAATTGATAAAGCCGTTGAAGTGTTTGCATAAATATTATAATGTTATGACTTGCTCTAATTAATGATTCCATCGGAAACGGGCATAGTTACATTGTCATTGTTATGGTAGGTAATATTTTAATAGGTAACCAAAATAACTAGACTAGCCCGTGAATTTGGTCTACTTGAACAATTGGTTTTTTACCTATAATTATAAAATATCATTCTCCTTAACCGCCTCTATCAAATTATGTTCTATACAAATCATTATATTTTTTAGGTTCTACCTGGTATTTTTTGTCTAATATTATTATGTTTATCAGCGGATGGCATAAACTTCATTTCCCAGAAAATCATTTGGCAGACATTCAAATGCATAATTTTGTAAGCCAAAGCATCTTTAGGCATACATTTAATATTTAAGAAGTTATCACTTTAAAAATATGCCTCACAAATATTTGTTAAAAGAAGATTGAATTGATTGAATTACTTTGAATTTATAAATGATAGAGGAAACCCTATTTTTAAGAATTTAACTGTTGCATTAAGAAATCTAAAGATTTTTTTTGCAGGAAAACAAAACCAGTCCGTCCATGCTTCGAACCGCACTTTCCGCAATACGAGTGATCGAATTGATTTATTCCCAGTTAAAAAAAATCTTTACATATATATATATTTTATGCACTTTGTCCATCTACAAGATCCTCTGTTTCCTTATACCAAAATTCATCAACCAGCAGCGATTTCGTGTCTGGATGGATACGTAACAGACAGACACACAAAGTTTGGTTTCGGCTGTTATCATATTGAAATTCAAAGCGACGTTATGAGAGCATCCTCCTTTTTGAAAGTCGGTAAAAATGGTCAAGATCGTTATTATATTACTCAAAAGAAAATATGTAAGTAGTACATTTTTAAGAGATAAATCCAATGTGCTTTTCATTCATCATTGCAGGATCAAGTATTTTAATTAACAATAGGTATGAATAACAAGGCCTTTTACTAACTCTTAGCGCAAACCGCTGCTCTTTCTGAGGCCGTTGACCCCAAAATTAGGTAATAAAAAGCACACTTGAGAGAGGTAGCGGAATTCCCGCTTAAATTGGAGCGCCCGTCTGGGGAAGGCCACCTTAAAGAAGACCACAGTTAAATAACACTACATTTGGGGGTGTTGTGTTTCTATCTGTGTACAAGGTTTCAGGGCTCCAAGGGGTAAGAGAAGCAGCATAGCAAGCATCTATAGGCTAAGGTGGCCGCTCAAAATCAGGCGGGCCATATGTTTGTATATTAACCTTTAAAATAAAAAAATAAAAACACTTACCCCACATAGGTCCAAAAGTCAAGCACACCACAGTTAGTACGAGGCATATTCTTAATCTCCTGTTGTTTGCACCTTTCTTGAAAGCAATCTCAAATGTTTCTTTCAAACTGTGGACGTCGAAGAACTCAACCAAGAAACCGGTACAACCAGTCTTCTTTACCTAAAAGGAAACGGTAGATTAGTTTGTTATGACATCGCGCTAACTTTCCATGACAATAGCATCCTGTTTGTTTTAATCTTCAGAATAGATAAAGTACCGGCCGGTGCTGGTTCACCTTGCGTATGCAATGTTTTGCGTTAGTAAGTTTTTTGTAAATTGTTTTTCTTCAGTGGAAACGAGTACGTTTCGTATGAACGTATTACCGCGCAGTTTTTTTGCAATGACTTTAATGTCTATGTACATATATGCTTAAGACGTCATTGGATTTTTGCTAACCACGTAATTGGATAAATCTATACATGCCCCATTGTGTACATCCGTACACAATGGGGCATGTATAGATTACGATATATTATTATATGACTGCCCAGTGAAAAATACATTTATAATTCGGTATTAAGTTTAGATTTAGAACATATTATAATTATAGTTCAAAATTCTATTTAAAAATCGATTTTTTTGTGAGCTATAGTTGATAGTATTTTAGTGAGAATGAAATTTCGATTAAGTTTTTATTAAAGGAAATAAAAACACTCACCTTTTCTTTGTTCTCCAGCCAAGTGTGGTCTTCTATAGCGAAAAATACATAACAAAAGTTTAAAAATTGCAACGCGGCTGATATGCTGAAAACTCCATAATATCCTATATATCGAAGCAGAACTCCGCTGAATCCCATACCTATCGGGAAACCAATCGTCATGCATAAACTTAGTATGCCCATTCGAAAAGTCCTAGTCTCTCTCGAAGTTATATCGCCCAAATAACTAAAACTACCGAGAAACATTGTGTACCATCCGCCTGTCAGCGATGGGAATATAACTTCCATCAACACAGTGAATTCCACTGGGACTTCGTAGAAAAAATATGTGTTTAACATATTCAATATGCATGTCATGAATTCCCCAAAGATTGGCATTAACATACAAATTTTCCTCTTTCCGGTTTTGTCGCTCCATGCCCCGATGAACAGCATCAACAATGTAGGCACGGCAGTGTGGACCACGCTTTTCCAAGCTTGAACAGACGCAATTAGTTTTTGGACTTCATCCTCTTCAAAAGTATGATTAGCTCTCTTTCTTAGGCGTAAGTCTGTACACACTGAGTCACCAAACTCTAAATTTACCCGACAAGCTTTGTCCAAGTTCAAATTTTGCGTCGCCAACATTGCCAATACGCTCGGCATCACAAAAAACGCCAAAACTGGTTCCACTGTAACATTCGCTTTCAAATATTTCAGTTTTTCTAAAAACGTCATGTTCTGAACTTCTTTGGTTTCCGATTTCAGCGGTAGATCCTCGGTTGTGTCTTGTGACACAGTCGTTTCCGATCTCGCTAACTTATCCATTTTGATATTGTTCTATATTATTTTGTTAACGGAGATTTTTGAGAAACTTTGAACGAAACAGTTTTCGTTATATTTATAAATATGTCGAATGACTGGAAAGTTGCTGTGATTGGAACTAGGAAAACTTTGCGGTTACAACGTCACATTGTTGATATAGCTAGAGAAGATCTACACAGCTCCAAGATAAATAGACGATATGATATTGAATGAGTGTCGAGCCGTCGTCGCTGGAAGGGAGCTAGCGTTCTATTGTTCGTTTTATGTAAGCAAACACTCTTATGTTGCCATATCAGTCTTTAATGCGTTCACAAACATACTCGCAGGAATCGAAAATAAAATCTACACGACCGATATTCAATTCAAACAAGTTCATCGATCCTATGATATTGGATCATCACAACTCATAATATTATTGCAGCGGCACTTGAATGTGATTTCGTGTTATGAATGCAAAACAAATATGTAATGTTCAATAAATTTTATTACAATTTTCACACATGATCGAAAACACTCATAAATAATGTCCACTGTTATTTTCACTGATAAATAAATGCGCGCTCAATTGTCACTTAATACGACTTAGATTTCTTAATTCACACTATCCGTTTCTTCAGGTTGTCTGTTGTCTTCCCTATGTTCGAAGTACATCCATCTGGAATGTATATTTATATTTGAATACTCGCTTAATAGTACAAGAACGACTATACGACATGCAGCGGTCTAACAAGTGAATGAAATGGATATTGTGTTGGTTTGTGTAATATATTGACACACTGTTGGATGACCATGGTTACGTCATGAATTACCACACAGATGTTATATGTAGATGTAACTATCATCTTACTTGTTATGGACAAAGTTTTACTTTGTTGTATAAAATTGTATGGTCTTTTGAATAATAAAGAAGTAAAAATAAACTGATCACAGTATTTTTGGATGTCTTTCAGGAATTAAACTTTTAGCCACCCATTCGATGAGGAAACTTACTTAACATTGCAAATCAAAAACCGAAATCGTTTATTGTGTCTCTAATATGATGGTTAATAATGTTTATATCTCTAAAACCTATTGTTTATAGCTAGATTCTGAATTATGTAATGGGAGTTGACTTCAGGATTATCTTTGAAGTCATTTTTCAACTTGACGACTCTGTGTACGAATACAAGGAGAAAAAAAACAGCCCTTGCTGAGTTTCTTGTCGGTTCTTCTCAGCACAAGAACAGTAGTTTTGCGAACCGATTGCGTAGCTTCTCGACTTTCACAAGTGCCTGACTGAATAAATGATTTTGATTTTAGGGTTATTTTACTATCACAAATATTATTATACTAGCGGCCGCCCGCGAATTTGTCCGCATTAGCTTTAGTGTTTTGAGAATACCACACGGACCTTATATAATAATATGTATTTCCGAGATAAAAAGTATCGTATGTCTCAATCCAGATCAAAAAATATATGCGTACCAAATTTAATTCAGAAACCGTTCAGAAGATTTAGAGTGATTGAATCACAGACATACAAACTTTCACATTTATAATATTAGTGGAAAGTAGGATGCACAATATGACAATGTAAAGTAGCAAGAAAACAATTTATTCAAATAGAGTTGGCCATATCAAAGTGCTTCATACTGTTTAAAAGCAACTTATTGTAGTTTAATGCAAAGTCTTACAGTGCATGCGGGCCACAGACCATTTCTTCTTTTGTATAGGCCTTCATAGTTGAATCACATATAAAATTCAATAAATTGTAATTATATAAACAAACTGATAATCAGTTGTTCGTCACCATACGAGATTTACAATTGTTTGTTGAGCTAGTCAAACAGAAATTCATTGTCTAGATAGGGATGAAGCTAACATAGATGTAATAATTATGTGATTAGTTTCATTTTATATTATACTAGCAGCCGACTTTTAGTTTTAGAGAATCCCACAAGAACCTAAATAAATCCGGGATGAAAAGTATTCTATATCTCAATTCAGGTCATAAACTACATGCGTTGCAAATGTCATCCAAATCCGTTTAGTCGTTAATGCGTGAAGGAGTACCAAACATACAAACTTTCAAATTTATAATCATCATCAGCCTATTAATGGCCCCCCTGCTGGGGCACAGGCCTTCCCTATGGATAGAATAGGGAGATTGGCCCATGACCCACCACGCGGGCCCAGTGCGTATTGGTGGGTGCTTACGACTGCAGATGCAGCCGGGACCAACGGCTTAACGTACCTTCCGAAGCACGGAGGAGCTCGAGATAGTATTTTTTGGTCACCCATCTAATGACCGACCACTGCGAAAGTTGCTTAAGTTCAACGACCGCAGCCGAACGCGCTAACCACTTGCGCCATCGAGCTCCTCGAAATTTATAAAATTAGTAGGACAAGGGACTAATATAACTTTCCTTTATTTTATTTTTTAAATCCTGACAGGATCGCTGTTGGAATTTAACTACGAGTATGTCATAATTTTCGATAAATATATTGCAAACAGAGCATTTCACATTACATGACTACTTAATTGTACACAAAGAAATGAGACGTTAAAACTGACTTGCTGCTCTGAGCTTAACTTATATTATTATTTTAAACAGTTACAAATATTATATTAAGTTTGTTTAAAGTCACAGGTTGTTCATAGAATTTTTCATAACGTTTGCCTTACTAAAACCAAATCAAATGTTAATTAAATGTTTCATTCAGGTTTAGTTATGTGTGCCATATTTGTATTATTGTTACTATCTCACACTGCACACGCATTGGAAGCTCACAACTATGGGATGGGATCGTATGGGAAACTGTTATATGGATCGAAATTATTGTGCAATGCCATGATAACGATACTGTGATACAATTATTCAACTATGAATATGTTACTTCTTATGTTACTTTGTTTAGGGCTTAAAAGAAAATTGATCGATTACAAGTCATCATCATCAGCATATGGACGTCCACTGCTGGACATAGGCCTCCTCTAGGGATCTCCAAACACAACGATCCTTTTTTTTTTCTTTCGATGTCGTGGAGGAGCTTACCGCATCCAGTGGTTTCCCCCCGACTCGCTTGATGTCGTCAGTACACCTCCTAAGGGGTCCCGACACTGCTTTTTCCGGTGCGAGGTCGTCATTGAAGCACTCTAGGACTCCCAACGTCCATTGGTTAGCCGAACAATGTTTCCCGCCCATTGCCACTTCAGCTTGGCGATCCGTTTAGCTATGTCGGTTACCCGAGTTCTTCAACGGATTACCTATAATCTATTTCTGATTCGATCACGTAGAGAAACACCGAGCATAGTTCTCTCCATCGCTCGCTGTGCGACTCCGAGCCTTATTATGAGGCCCATTTTCAACGACCACGTCTCTGCTCTAGGTGTGAGCGTTCTAAAGACGAACCGGTTTCAAGGACCGTTTTGTGTTCCGCGACGATAGAACCGTTTTACGTTTCGGATCAAAACAGTCTTCATCGAACAACTAGTCCTCGGATAGTCTGCACGCCAATATGTACTTTATGAAGAAGTATATACAGTCTATAATAGAACGCAATGATATGGCATGCCGTTTCGTTCTATGATAATTCAGCTTTGATTTTACAATAATATAATCTTTATTATTGAACATTTACTACATTTATTTCGATGTTTCGTCGTCTCATTCGCAGCAACGAAACGAACGTTAACAAGATTTCATTTAGTTCAGTTTCGTTGCGTTCATTCGTTCGACCGTCGCGTGTCGTTTCGTTGCATCACCCAGCCGCAACCATAACCAGTTGCGAACGAGAACCGTTTCGAGGACTAGTTTTCGTTTAAGAGAAAACGGTTGCGTTTCGTGGTCAGAAAATTTGAGAACGACCCACCGCTACTCTGCTCCGTATGTCATCACTGGCAACAAGCACTGCACAAGACCTTGGTCTTCAGACTCTGAGGTATTTCAGACGAGAAGAAATCGCTAAGTTTCCTCTACGCTGCCCAGTCGAGTTGGATTCGGCGGTTTACCTCTTTCTCGAAATTGGACTTACACAAGACTTGACAATATTTGTCGACAATTCGAGTGCACAGTTCTCGATGATTATCGGGTGGAGCGGAACATGAGCGTTAGACATGATTTTCGTCTTACATCATATATCATGTTCATTTTAAGGCCCTTCTGTTAAGATGCTCGGCTGAGGTCATTGAGCATTGGATTGTGATCCTCCAAATTACCATTATAAGCACATGCTTTTATTTTATTTTTATTGATATTCACAAAGTGTTACTGAGTTGTTGTTATTTGAAATCGGTGAAGTTATAATAACGTGTGTTGTTAATATTGTATTTTATTAAGTGCACTAATGAAATGGCCGGGATTATGACTGATTTCATATAATATTAATATTACTGTGTTTGTTAGCATACTCTCGGGATTCATTAGTATGCGGTGCGTTCACATCCTAATGAAGTAATAACATTCCAACTGCAGCAGATAAAATATAAAGAAATCTACGTATTGACACATTTGAAAGTTGCCCTGAATGAACAAAAGAAGTGGTTCGTTATTTGAATAATAATACGCAGAAGATAGCTTTGTTCGTGTTTCTTTACGATTTGAATAATATTATATCTATTCTTTTGCTACTGATTGTAAAAGTAAAATACTATGATGTATATAATAGATATAATTATTATTAATAGATTTTTTTTGGGATATACAATATATCCTTAATGTTGCACGTTATATCCTGTTTATTTTGATATTAGTGGCCCGCCCTCGCTTCGCACCCCAGGGGTTATCGACTAGCAGAGTGGCACAAAATTGGTTAATGACGATATACCCAATAAACCGATAGACTATATACCGATCGATGAGGACTTCGATGGCGCAGGTAGTTAGCGCGTTCGGCCTGCGGTCGTGAAAGTTAAGCAATTTTTCAATGGTCGGTCATTGGATGGGTGACCAAAAACTTATTATCTCTCACTCCTCCGTGTTTCGGAAGGCATGTTAAGTCGTTGGTTTTCTTCCGCAATTGCAGTCGTTAGCACCCTCCGATCCGCACTGGGCCCGCGTAGTGGGTCACGGCCCAATCTCCGTATTCCATCCATGGGAAAGGCCTGTGTACCAGCAGTGGGGACATTAATAGGCTGATGACGATATCATCATTTGAATACCCGAATATGGCGACTGCCGGCACTGTCATGCCAGCTCCGAGGAGGAACACCGCGCCGGGCAGGACGTTCAATGTGGCCATGTACACCCTGGAGTAGAGCGGGCCGTACACCAGCGGCATCATCGCCTCAGCTAGCCCGAATAGAGAGTTCACCTTGCCTGTAACAATTTTATAGTTTTTGAGTTCCACGAGAGTTTATAAACTTAAAACTCGCTCAGCGATGCTCGCTTAGCAGTCAAAACGCGTGCGGGTGCATTTTTACTCAGGACTTTTACCGCGAGCGAGTGGCGCGAGTCGTCGCCTGGTACTCGCACACTCGCTTAGACATCGTTAAAACTATTGCAACTACACACTCGCTTCCCGCTGTTCGCCAGCTCGTTTCTATTTTCTAGCTCTACTCGCTTCTCGTTCATCGTCGGCGGTAGGATGAGTGCCTATAGCCCGTATGATCGTAAGCCGCTGCCAAAGCCTACAGATGTGTGCGATACCTGACCAGAGTATTACGCTCGCCGTTGCCTATTTATTGCAGCTAGTAGGCATTTTGACCTTGATTTCCAAAAACATGCGTGTTCGAGGGCGAATGGATATTCATTCCACAAAGTCATAGATAATTTGCTGTGACTAGGCCCCATAGATGGAGATGCCACGGAGAATAAATAACATCTTCCCTCCTAGGTAATCTGTGCATGCAGGTCTGACTATAAGTTCTAGCAACCTCGCTGCGCGAGCGCAACTCACTATAGAATTATGTTAATTGGCTGTATCTTCAGTGACATCTAGGACACTTTCGAAAAAAAAATTTCAAAACAGAAAAAAATTAACTTATTCTAAAAAGTTTCTTTTCTCACTCTTTTAATTCTTAACTGATTACAAAAAAATCCACGCGGACCAGGCAGCAGACGGGACTCGAACCCGCACCCTTCGCAATCCGGGCGAATGCACTGACCAATTATGCTACCGCGGCCCTGACGGCCGCGTCGAAATTCTTCTAGCCATTCTTAAGCGTCCGCGTGGAATTTTTTCTAGTTATATTTTCTTTAGATTTAAACATCAAGCAGTTACATGCTTAAAAATTAAAATTATGATTACAAAAAGTTTATTATCCATCTGTTCCTAAATTCTTCAGTGTTTATAAAAAGTTATGATGGTGTTGTTATTCCTTATTCGGCTCAAATAAGGGACTTGGGTTTGATTATCGATGATAAAGTTTCGTGGATAGACCATGTCGATTTCGTCTCGCATAGAATATTTTGAAATGGATATTGTATTTTATCCTACTGGCATGCTATTTGACTTTAAATTAAATTTGTATTTGCATGCTAGACTTATATGGCAAAACATGTGCACATTATTATTTTGTAGCAACTCATAATACCGTGTTTTAAAGCAAATAAAGTATTACTATCATAGGCTGACCAATTCTTTGAAAAATTAACTAACCGATTTAAGTTTTTTCTGCCTACTCGTACCAAGATTGCTCTTTTTCAATCTCTAATTCTGCCTATTATTGATTATGCCGACATAATATATTAATGAAAATCTTCAAAATAAGTTGGATCTTCTTCTCAATAACTGCATTCGCTTCATATATGGCTTACGTAAATACGACCATATTTCACATTTTCGTCATCAACTCAAATGGCTCCCTATTCGCGAGCCGGAACCATAGAGTTGTTTGTGCTCTTTTTAATCTTCTTTACGACCTACTTACACCGGTTTACCTAAAAGTTTTGGGTATCTATCTGATTCTCATGACCGTGTCCTCCGTTCAACGGACAACCTCATTCCTTCACAGCCATGACTGTACGAGTCTGGAATGACTTGCCCCCCAATATACGTAACACTCCTAACAAACTTGCATTTAAGTTCTTGAGCACGATCTCAATATCATTAATCTGCGTTCTCATATTTGCAATAAAGATTTTTTTATTTATTACCATTATAAAAATAGCATTAGACAATGGCATAGATAACATCTAAAACCACTAAGGTTTACACTGCGCTATCGGAATTCACATTTTTATTGCCTTACTTGTAACCTATAGACCAGGACCACCATAAAAATGGTGAAAAGTGAAAAAAAATTATAGTAGGATGAAACCCATTGGAATATAACAAAAGTTAAAGGAAAAATAAATTACGGGCGATCTGAGGTCGGGAAGGGGGAGGGGGTGAGTGTTTAAGGGTAAAAACCGGTTAATCTCGATTTCCGGGAAAACTGAAAGTCCTATGAAAAAAAGTTAAATGGTAAAGTTGTAGGCAATAAAAAGATCTACAACTTTTGTATCGACACTTTTTTCACATAACCTCAAAATTTATGTGAAAAATTCGAATAACCGAGTTTTTGGATTTTTATTTTTATTTTATGCAAAAAAAATATTTTTTTAACGCAATTTAGTGAACACTTACCTTTGTATGTCCCAAACATACAGCATTTTTTTTTATTTAAAATATTAATTTTTTCACCTTATTTTGACTTAATATCGAAAAAGCACCCTTATTTTCAATCGAAAATTGTCACGTCAAAATATCTGCTTTTTTAAAAAAGGTGGTGTGTTTTTTGTTTGTTGAAATCTCTACTCTTTGATGGTATAAAAAACAATATACACTACTATGGTAAATGTTCTCAGAAACTGCAAATTAATAATGATAATAACTCGAATCCGAAAATCCTATTTTTAATACCTAAGTACAACAACTATTTTTGCATGTTTTATGGATTTGTAATTTTTCTGTTTATCAATATAACATGAAATCTTACGTTTTTCGAGTAATTAAAGTGTAAATTTTAATAAATAGTTCAAAATTATACATAATGATTCAAAACAATTTTTCGGATTGGAGTTTTTTTATTTTTCCTTTCATTTTTGTTATATTCTCTACCTTTTCCAATGGGTTTCATCCAACTATATTTTTTTTTGGTCTCAAAAATTATCGACCCTTGTCTACTAGTATTATGTGTAATGAATCATTACATATAATACTAGGTTTCAAGTAAGGCATTACTAATGATTTAACAACTAAGTTACAGCAAATTAAGAAAGTAATATTTCAACTTATAATTAACATTCATATCTATGTGTGAAAACATAAAAAGCTTCTTACCCAACTCTTCACTCGTAACTAGTTTAGATGCTATGGAGCGCATCGCTATGAACGATGTTCCATTGAATATCTCCACAAGAGGTGCTGCAAGTAACAAACATATTACTTAATATTTAATTGATTAAAAAAAATACAAGGTTTTTAAGCATAATGCTATCTATAAGTATTATTAATAAATCAATTGTTTCATTCTATTCCTTTGTTGTGTTGACGATGAAATACGAAATAACTAGTCTACTAATTGTTATCACTGAATATTTGAAGGCGCAAGTGGTAAGCGCGTTCGGCTGCGATCGTTGAAGTTAAGCAACTTTCGCAGTGGTCGGTCATTGGATGGGTGACCAAAAATTAATATCTCGAGCTCCTTCGTGCTTCGGAAGGCACGTTAAGCCGTTGGTCCCGGCTGCATCTGCAGTCGATAGCACCCACCAATCCGCACTGGGCCCGCGTGGTGGGTCATGGCCCAATCTCCCTATTCCATCCATAGGGAAGGCCTGTGCCCCAGCAGTGGGGACATTAATAGGCTGATGATGAAATATTTGATAATGATTTGTTGTATTAGAGAATTGAGTCGAGGCGATAAAAGTGAAACGGTAAGACGTCTGCAACTGTATCTATCAACGATCAACGTAGTTCCAATTACTCCATATGATTATAATCTAGTTATTTTTAATTTTATTTTTTTAAGTATGAAGGTACTCGATGTTTAAATCTAAAGAAAATATTACTAGAAAAAATTCCACCCTGGCCTTGCAGCAGACGGGACTCGAACCCGCACTCTTCGCTATCCGGTTGAATGCACTGACCGAATATGCTACCGCGGCCCTGATGGCCGTGTCGAATTCTTTCTAGCCCTTCTTAAGCTGCAAAGCAGCGCCATCTCTTCGCATTGCAGGTTACTTTTTCAAAATCAAGTTAGATTTCTTTGATTTAAAGATAAAAGGTCGATACAGGCTGGGGTGCTGACCTCAAACCCAACTGATATCAGATGAAACAATGGTGAGAATTATTTAAATTTGTCACTGATAGTTATGTAGCTAACCATAAAATTATAACATGGGCCATTTCACTTATGACGAGCTACTAAATATTGTCTAAGAATAAAATATAGTCGTACTAGCTGACTCGGCGAACTTCGTACCGCCCAAAAGTAATAATAAGCAATAAATTAAAATTGCGACTATAATTTGAGATTTAAACTATCCTATCTCTCAAGTTGGATCGAACTGCACATGGTGTGCGAATTTTATTATAATCGGTTAAGTGGTTTAGGAGTCCATTGAGGACAAACATTGTGACACGAGATTTATATATATTAAGATATCTCGCATCATGCATGAACCATTCTAACAAGGATTTTTTACTTCCACCTTTTCATTATCATTATCATCAGCCTCTTAATGGCCCCACTGCTGTACAGGTCTTCTTTATGGATGGAATAGGAAGCCACTATGCGGACCCAGTTCGGATTGGTGGGTGCTAACGACTACAGATGCAACCGGGACCAACAGCTTAACGTGCCATCCGAAGCACCCGAGCTCGAGATAGTAAATTTTTGGTCACCCATCCAATGTCCCACCACTGCGAACGTTGCTTAACTTCAACGATCACAGCCGAAAACACTAACCACTTGCGCCATCAAAACTCCTCTTGTACCACTTATTATGATAGAATTGATCGTACCAATATAAATTTCGACGGTAGTTGTGGCGAAGGCAAACACGAAGGAAGCGAGAATCTTGCTCGTGCATGAAATGATCCCCACCACTGTGTCGTCCAGTTTCATGAAATCGCTGAATATGCTGATCGAGAACAAGGTACCTGTTCAACATAATATGACTTATATATGTACATATAAACATGTATGATGTAATGAAAAAGCTACAAAGTTAAGAACAACGCGATACTTTTGAATGTTTAAAAAAATTGTGTGCACGTACCACTATATCTGAAGTGAAACTTCTTTTCTTAAATATCCTAACATTAGCGGTGCATAAGGCATAGGGGAATGAATCAGCGCACGCATCACTCATATATATGAGCGTCACAAGCGACATACATGCGACATATATATATACATACATAATCGCGTGTGACGGTCGTAACGTTTCACACTTCTCCAAATTACCCGCAAATGTTCATCAGGAAGAGCTGCGCACGCATCCCACACACATATAATATATATAGCGAGTGACGCTCGTGACGCATTTCCGTTTCATCTTTTCCATAGGATTTTTCCATTTACACTCCATCCGAATAGAAATTTTACATCAAAACTGTCTGCTGAACGTTACGAACAGTCTATTAATGGCTCTATTGCTTTTGCTCTATGAAAAGAATAGAAATGAAATCTTTACTGACCATCACAAAAAACTACAATTGAAAAAATAAAAAGAGAACTGTAGTTATAATTTGTTTTTTTTTTAGAATTGCGACGTGGCTATCAGGGCCGCGGTAGCATTGGTCAGTGCATTCGCCCGGATTCGCCCGTCTGCTGCCTGGTCTGCGTGGATGTTTTTCTAGTTATTTTTTAAGAGAACTGTACTTAAGAATAGGGAAAGCCCACCACGTGGGTTCTTAGCAGATTGGTGCTAGACTGCAGATGGAACCGGGATCAATCGCTTTAAGTGATTAGAAGTTAACGTGAGGATCAAGAGATAACATTTTTGGTCGAATTGCGTAGTAATTGCGAATGTTGCCTATCGCAGACCGAACGCGGTAATCAAATAAGATGTGGAAAAGTACAACAATGGCCATTAAAGAAGGCGCCTCTCTCACCCAGTCGGTGTGGGCTCGTTTCGTTTGCGTTTGTCTGTACTGAATCTGTACAGATTTTTTTTTGAGTGTGGTCGCAGATGACCTTTACAGCGTCACCGGGTTTGGGGACGGCGAGATACGGGGACCTCAAGCCGAGAATTGGCGAGTGCCTCTAGAGGTATTCCAGGCGGATGGCATCTTACTACGGGGGTAGTCTCCTCTCCGTCTGGAGCCTCTAGACCACTCAAACCTGAGGGGGTCGGCTCAACTAGAGGGCGTCTCAGAAACTCGATCCCGGCTCTAGTTAGCCGTTGTCGTTACCTGTACCTGGTATAGCGTGTCGTGTGTAGACCGGGTCTTCCTAATCTTATCTTACGGGTGCGGTGTCTGCCCAATGCTAAGCTAGTGTGCAAGTTTGCTATCTGTGTATTGTTGTTGTTTGTGGCCTGGGTAGAAGGAGTCGGAGGCGCGTTGGCGCGGGTGATATCGTCGTCGCGGTACTCTAAGACGTGCCTAGGACGACGGATTAGAATATTTACCGAGTGCATGTTATTAAATTAGTGCTTCCTCACTGATACACAGCGCTCTGTACCGATAGCTACCAAGTGCTGCCAAATGCTACCGAACTATTTGAATCGCCCGTTCCATCACTCCCGCAAACTAAACGAAACGAGAAGAGCAAGAGCACCAAAACCGTGTAAAGATCTGTACAGATTCGGTACAATAACGAAAACGAAACGAGCACGTACCGACCCGGTGAGCAAGGCGCCTAAGGAAATATTTCAGATACGGAAATCATGACAACTTACAGAAGAGCACAGTAACGCAATACTTTATTTTGGTAGTAAAAGAAAACTTATTTGTTTCTTAGGTTTTCACGCACATCACTCATTAAATAAAACTAGTTTTTACGGGTTAATGGTTAATTAATCAATAAATAAATAAAGTTTCGTGCATTAACCCGTAAAAACTAGTTTTATTAAAAAAAAACTTACCAACTAAATTGGTGATTATGCTGTATGTACAAAACATGCTGAACTGCACCTCATCCCAGTTGAAACGAAACCTCATGAAGAGATAGAGTACGTTCATTTCACCTGTAAAGATCAAATTTGATTAGAGTTATAGGAACTAAGTTCCTTTTCGGACGGTACGGTGGAAGGTGGCTAGGCAAAAAAAAATTAGATTATACCGTCACCCTTTTATGCGAAAAATGTTGGTCTTGGCAAGATTTTGTTTGTTATAGGTAGGTGCATTGAATCTACTGTTTTTATTAGAATAAGATTTTCTTTTTTTAATTGCATCTACTGTTTTTTCTTGTAGCTCTTTCCATACATCTATTCTATTTGCTTTTTTCTTTAAAGCCTCCCTATTTTTTAAATGGAACCTGGCATCACTGCTTCCATTGTAGTTTTTACTAACCCTTGGTAGTTTTTCTATGGCAGCTCCACTTATGTAGCTTATTATAGTAGTTTCCCTCCCCTTGTGACATTTATTTTAACATTATTCCAACCGAGTATTCCACGACACTCACGTTTTCGTGTTTAATATTAAAATAAAATGACTTTTCTAGTTAAATAGTACAGAAAAAAGGCAAATGTGGCAGATAGGGAAGGGCAATTCGAGAGAGGTAAGGCATAGCAGATTTACCGCTTGAATTAGAGCGCCCATCTTGGAGAACTAAACTCCATCTTACAGAACACCACAGTTAAATAACAGTACCTTTTTGTAGTGTTGTGTTTCTGTTGGTAAGTAAGGTTCCAGGGCTCCACGGTCACAATACATACAAGAGCAGTAGCGTAACTCAGCCGTTTTCTTGAAATAGATACCTACGACTGAGTGGAGCGCTAGGGTTGGTACCTACAAAATGTAAAACATTTTTGTGTAGATTTTTATTGTAGAGTCTGTGCGGAAAGAGAATGGGCGTGGCGAAAAACGGAACTAACATTATGATTTTTATTTGGCAATCAAACCCAGCAATCTGTAAAACGTCAAAGTTATGTATTGATACGGATTTGTTTGTTGTTGTAATTTCTTGAGGTTTTTTGTATTTAATCATGTCTAAAAGGGGAAAAACCTTACAAATATGGTAGAAAAGCACTACAGCGCCCTCCAATCTAAATCCCATTCTCTTATCGCACAGACTATGTGTATAGTTACTATTGCTACGTTACGGAATTGAAACGGAGGCTGACGGCGCGGGCGGCGTGGCGCAGCTAACTTAACTCGGCCAACAACCAGTCTCGGCGGCGCGCGACGTGGCACTGCGTAGATTTGTCTTGGCAAGATTGGTTAGCGGCCGTGTAAATGATGTTTGTCTGTGTGCGTGCGTCGATTCGGGCGCTAGTATGAAGTGGAAGTACTGCTCTTGTATGTATTGTGCCACGGTGTAGGGGATAGGGTCAGGGTAGGCAATGGTACTGAGTGATATTTTTGGTATGGCAAGCATCTTTAGACTATTTTGGCCGCTTATCATCACGCGGGCCATACGCTTGTTTACTTTCAACATAAAGATAGCTGACGCAATTGAAAATTGTTGTAATCTAAAGAAAATATAACTAGAAATAATTCCACGCGGACCAGGCAGCGGACGGGACTCGAACTCGCACCCTTCGCAATCCGGGCGAATGCACTGACCACTTTTTTTCTAGTAAATCTTTTCTTTAGATTTAAACATCTAGCAGTTAAATGCTTAAAAATAAATAAAAACAAAAGAATTAATATTATTATTATTATGGTGAGACCACTGACCATCAAAAGCAATAGTATTCACTGTAGAAATGTAACAGAATGGATGATTATGTTTTTATTTATTTTTTAAGCATTTAACTGCTAGATGTTTAAATCTAAACCTACCTACCTTGGTGGGTAACCTACAATGCGAAGAGATGGCGCTGCCTTGCAGGTTAAGGCTAAGAAAATTTCGACGCGGCCATCAGGGCCGTGGTAGCATAATTGGTCAGTGCATTCGCCCGGATTGCAAAGGGTGCGGGTTCGAGTCCCGTCCGCTGCCTGGTCCGCGTGGATTTTTTTTTCTAGTAAACTTTTCTTTAGAATGGATGATGTTCTTTTGGCTGCAATATTCTGTAAGGCGTCTTAATTCCAGCTCCAGGTTAACAATGTTTTATGTTAAATAGTCTAGTTAATAGTTTTTTTACTACAATCGTGATGACTTTTCTTGAAAAGCAAACAATAGCTGCTGTTCTCGTTATCGTTTTCTCTTTAAAACTCTGTGTATATTGTTATGCCAATCATGAGTTCTTAACAATGAGCTTCTTAGAAGTGCTTTTAGTAGTTCTACCTCTTGAGACCGTACCAGCATAATGACCATAAATTGAGCACAAAGATCAAGCAAGACTACTGCCAGTAGTTAATGTCACTATCACAGATGTGGACTTGTTACTAAGGCCGCGTTGTTTCATTCATAGTTAAATTTGACGAAAGTTAATGCCCCATCAAATACATAACTGTGTAAAATTTTGACAAATAGTTATTATGATTTTATTTATTTTTTAAGCATTTAACTGCTAGATGTTTAAATCTAAAGAAAAGTTTACTAGAAAAAAATCCATCCATTATTTTTCTAGTAAACTTTTCTTTAGATTTAAACATCTAGCAGTTAAATGCTTAAAAAATAAATAAAATCATAACTATAATTGCTATTTCTTCTTTCAAATGTTTAATACTTGAAAAAGTATTCATTTGACATTGTGGGTTACCTACAATGCGAAGAGATGGCGCTGCCTTGCAGCTTAAGGCTAGGAAAATTTCGACGCGGCTAATAGGGCCGTGGTAGCATAATGGTCAGTGCATTCGCCCGGATAGCGAAGGATGCGGGTTCGAGTCCCGTCCGCTGCCTGGTCCGCGTGGATTTTTTTCTAGTAAACTTTTCTTTAAATAGTTATTATTTCCGTAGTATATAACTATAGTTAAATTTGATGGATGAAATAACGCGGCCTATTTGAGGTATGCGCATCGACCTCCCTGCGTTGAGATTTGACTAAACAGGCTTTTCTATGGGCTCCATTCTCGCTTTGTATCCGGTGAAACAGGAGGAGGCGAACAGGTAAACAGTTACCACGGAAGAAATAAACATTAGGAGATTCGAAATGAATTTGTACCGTGTAGTGGGCCGAATATGACGCACACCACGACGATCAGCAGCGACACACGCAGCCTGCGTCTCCTTGGCCCACTGCGGAACGCTACGGTGAGCGTCTCTCGCACGTGGCGCGCGTCGAAGAACGAACACACCCAGCCTCGACAACCGACGGGATGTTCCTGGAAGATTATGTTAGTTGATTTGAATTGGTTGAGAAGCAACTTGAAGGCCGCTTAGATAGGCTCAAGTGGGGGAAAGTGTAACAAGGGGTACTGTGTGTAACATAACAAATATCTCTGCCCTTTTATTATAAATATGTCTATGATCTTTCTTGCCGTGTTTTCCAACACCATAGGCAGCTATGTTTAGACATTGAATGGCTGAATATAATACAAACATCTCCTTATTCGCCTCCTTATTATACTGTCCCTAAGGATAGCTGGTGTGGCAGGTAAAACTGCTGCACCAGCTATCTTCGCGTCTGAACTCCACTGCCACTTAACAAGACCTGATAAAGAAAGGAAAAGGCACACATAATGCTAACATTATATTGCTATGTTATTAATCACTAATCAAAATCATTTGTTCAGTTTAGGCTGTTACAAGCACTCGTGAATATCTAAAAGTTACTCCATCGGTTCGTAAATCTACGGCGGGAGATCTTGTACTGAGAAGAATCCAACGACTCGTTAATCTACGGCGGGAGATCTTGTACTGAGAAGAACCGGCAAGAAACTCGGCAAGGGCTGCTTTTTTGTTCCTGTTTTATTTTATTATTTACAGTGTCGTCAAGTCGAAAAATGACTACAGAGATGATCCATGAAGTCACCTTTCACATGAAACATATATATATATATATATATGTTGGTGGCGACATAATTTACTGTAGGAAAAAGGGAGAAGGTGGCACGTGAAGCAAATGTTTCCGCCCGTCTCCACTGGACTTCACTTTTGCTCAATACAGGGGTGGAGTTATTTACTGGACATTATAGAAAACAATAGAAAATGGTTGTGTTATGGTTGTAGTGGAGGATAATTTTTAGACTTGCTGGTGTCTATTTTTGAGTGGGAAACCCGTTGTGCGTGTGTTTCCATTTCCAAAAAAAAATTATGTGTAAAATATATATCTAATTACAGTTATAGTTATCATATCTTATTACCAATGTCTATTAAAGAATGTTATAATAAAAAATGTATAAGATTCAGAATCATAAGAAAGTTATTTTTATTTGTTTACCAATAAGAAACCAAGGATTTTTTTTTACAAATAAGATGCATTTTAAATTAATTAATATATAATTTTATTGCACTCCATACCCAAAATTTTTTCATTGATTAAATCGTCAAAAATAAAAATGTCGGGGTCGGATTTGAGGCTGTTTGTCAGCTAAATAATTATAATGTTTGAGGATAATTTATATCTGTAGAGTAAAAAACCGTACCATTATACAAGGTTATATAGAGATTGTAAACATTGAACAAAAACTAGGCATACATCACGTTTCTTGTATGGGGAAACCCTTTAACTTTTGAAGTTTGTTTTATCATAGCATATTCTGCGAAAATTTCAATTGTTTACCTCATAGCTCGCTACTGACAGACACACAGATAGAGTTGGCTTAGTTCCGAGATCATTTATTCATCAAAAAAAAATGACGAAATCATTACAAGCCTATTTTTCTTAAAATCTTCGAATGCGAATATTTATTAAAATATTAACCAAAGATAGCAATAAGTCCTTAAATTTTGGGTACACTCAGATGTACTTTCTAAAACCTCGATTTCTATGACTTTGAATACGATGGGAATTAAAAATTTTCTTTAGCACTATGATGATGGATAAGCAGAATATTAGCCCTAAAACAGAAATCTTTATTACAGCATCAATAACGAAATATAAGGCACGAAAGATTGAATTTGATGATTCGCCTGAATTGAATTGACCACCATAATCTATCACCGGGGTAGTGAATACCCTTACCCTATCCTCTACCCCGTGGAGATGCTCTACTATAGATTCTCAACCAGCTTCCATGTAATTAAGGCAAATTTGAAGTAAATCTGATAATTTAATTTTTCGCCTTCAGTTCACGGCCTTTTTTACACACAGATATGTGTATTTACATAGTTTTGTGTCTTACTGTAGCTATTTTAAAAAAGTAGGCATTTGGCTACTATGTCATTATGCGATATTCATTATGAGAAGTCAAGAAAATGGGATTTGTGTCTTTTGGCATTGTTTACAGGACCGGCTTACCCCACGGGCACTCCAATAGGAGCAGAAAATATATAGTGACGTGATTGTCCTTGCAGTCTAAAAATTCCAAGAAACTAAAAGAATCTACGTCCATTATCGTCTGGAAAGGATAGCGGTCAGTGCATTCGCCCGGATTGCGTAAGACTTGCCTAATTTAGGTGTTGGTAGACTGTCTGCGTTGTTTGAAACATAGTTACAAACAACGCGGATAGTCGCGGTAGATATAATGTATTATGTTATACTAGCTGACCCAGCGAACTGCGTACCGCCATAAAAATAGGGGCAGGTGCTAGAAAAGAATTTAGGGTTATGTATTTTTTAATACCACATTATAAAAAAAAGTCAATAAAATTTTAGGGGTGTGTAACGTAGTGTCCTATCAATTTTCTGGGGTAACATTCCTCCTAACCTATTTGAGAACACTACGTTACAATACCCAATAGTTTAAATCTTGGCGCTAAGGCGCATTGTAGGTTTCAGAACACTACGTTACAGGTGGACAACCATTATCACTTAAGGATATAGGAGAAATAGATAGTAGCCGATTCTCAGACCCACGGAATATGCATATAAAATTTCATAAATATCGGTCCGGCCGTTTCGGAGGAGTATGGTAACTAATATTGTGATACGAGAATTTTATATGTAAGAAGATTTATTCAGGAGTACACACTGACTACCTTTTAATGTTCTTTCCTTTCGCGGGCCTGCTGGAAATAATTTCAATATGAAATAAGCAGTGCCCATGTAAATATCTCTTGTTTGTCTTTTTTATAAATATTTTATTGTGTGTGTACAAAATAAATAAATAAATTGTTATATTTGATCACCCTACCTCTTTTAAAATTGTTACCTCATTTGGATGGCTGTAGGCTGAAGAGGAATTTAATATATTACAGTATCAGAAAACAGTAACATTTTTTCCGGTTTATGAAAGTTTTCTATTAGATTAACTTAGAAATTGTCATTAAGCGTAAACTGATAGGATAATAAAGCTTTATATCAGCGCACAGAGGTTTTGATGCTACGGGAAAAGCTAAATATGTTTTCAGAGTTCAAATTTAGTTTTGAGTGGTAAAGAACCTTTGGTTGGTTTAACAAGTCATTCTGCTTGCTTAGTTAGTTAAGCTAGTCATTTCTTGACTAAACAATATTTTTTTATGAACGGAACTAACCAATTCATGTTTGACTTTGATACGAGTAAACCGGAACTTTTTGTGTTGTGGTAATTCAACTGTTTTGTAAAAAAAACATAATAGTTTGCACAAGAAAAATGTTTGAACGTATTTCTGTAAATTATCAATCAAAATAATCACTACCGTTTTACTATAAGTAGCCCATATCAAACTACGTTCTGATATTTAAAAACAACGTATTTTTTTTAATAGAAGATTTGGTAAGTGGTTTAAAGAAATCATTAATGAAGTATCTTATTTAAAGTTCTATAAGGTTATTACAATTTACTTATTCCAGACAAACGATTTCTTATTTTTTCCTCATTTCACATTTTCATATTAAGAAAGTACTAAGTAACAATACCAGGAGCGATTATATTAAAGTGATTAATCCCACGTACATTTCAGTAAGAGAAGTTTTAGGGTGTTTAGATTGGTAGCGCATAAATTTGACTCGACACCTATCTGAGCCTCGTGTAAAATCCTTGATTGCGTTACGATGTCCCCCTCTGTTCGAATTTGCGTTGTGGGCTGCCGGCAATTTATCACTTAGACGTAGGACTAACCGGCCTGTCGTGTCTAGCGGCGAATGATGTATGGGCGCGCTGCGGTTTCTCTTAACACCTACCGATACTCTATTAACCCTAGACTTTGATCTCCAATTGTTACACGAAAACTTCCCCCACCCTCGATATTGTCTAATTAAGATATTCGACCTCACCTCACTCGCACAAAGGAACCAGGCAACAAATCAACCAAAAAGCTTTCATCTATTGTTTAGCTAACAAACGAATATACTTGGCGAGCCAACTTACCGTTTGTCGGTCCTGCGCTATGTTTGGGTCTTTCAATCGTATATATCCGTAGGTCAAGCTCGCTAAATACAAACAATTGGATATGAAGAAGATCCCGTAATATCCTATTTGTTGTAGCAGTATCCCGCTCAGCGACATTCCTATAGGTATCCCGAGGGACATGCACAAATTGGCCACTCCTACTCGGAATGTCCTCATTTCTTTTGTCGTTACGTCACCGATGTAGCTGAACACGCCCACGCACACGGTTATCCATCCTCCTGTTAACGACGGAAACAGATCCGCGAGGGCCGTGACCTCCAAAGGCAATTCGTAGAAGAAATATGTGTTTAGAATGAAGCCAGTGCAGCATAGCACTTCCCCGACAATGGGAAGAAGTATACACGCCTTCCTCTTCCCTGTTTTGTCACTCCACGATCCGACAAACAGAACCAGTATACACGGGAACGTTGTTTGTACAATATTCTTCCATGCCTGGACCGACGCGGTCAATTTTTGTACTTCCGCCTCTTCCACTGTGTAATTCGCTGTCTGTCGTCGGTTTAGCGCCGAACATACTTCGTCGCTGTATCCCAAATTAACTCGACACGCCTTCTCCAAACACAAATTTTGCATAGCGAGTCCAGAAAACACATTCGACATAATGTAACACGCGATAATCGGCTCCACGGTAATGTTCGACTTGATCTGCATGAGCTTATCCAGTACACCTGATCTTTGGGCTCTCTCTTCATTATTCGAAGGAGACTCAACCGTCGCCGGTTTCTCCGTCGAGACGCTTATTCCATTCATTATGTTGGGATCGTACGTACGTTAAATATTAATCAATCATGGTTGCTACGAGACTAAGGTTTCGCGAGACGTACTGTAAAGGTCCATCGATGGGTATATAGCGGTCATAATAGTTCCTTTATTGGTAGCGGACACTCCATCACATCACTCGCGCGCACTTGGCATTTCACTCGGCGCGGAAGGACGGTGGTCTGGGGTCGCAAGTTGGGTACAGACTGATTGGCTTTGTCTTAGGACTGGGATGGACGGATACGCGTTCGAGTGGTATCATTATAGGCAATTGGGCGTTGTAGTGTGTGCTCGCGGTGGCACGGTGGCGCGGAGTGGGCCCGCGCGGCTCGAAGCGTCACATCACAACCTTGCAATAAGCAGCCGTTTATCCCATTATACCAATGTCTGTCATTACATGAAACAGTAGTGGGTACACAGCTCGATGTCATTAGTGCACGGTCAAGGTATGAACGCAGCGCGTTGGCGGGATGTTTTTCAACTCTTAAATGCGTTAAGCAGGCAATGTTCAATTTACTCCAATTTACGAGGATTCTGAAGAGCTGGTGGGCTGTATCATTTGCATTCGGATTAGAAATAGGAAGTGGAAAGAGGTGACCTCAGTCCTTTAGCTCAAGTTGTTTTGTTAGCTTACCATATTCTGCGACTGTAATTTTGTAAAGGTTTAAAGTAATAGAGACACAGTGTTTAACTAAATTCGTCGCGGGTTTAAATTAACCATCAAAGAAATGGGTAAAAATATTTTGTTATGTTATTTTTTATAGTTTGACAATAATTTTATTTCTAAGATAATGGAATGATAGGTACATTGGCAAAAACCCAAATTTTATTTATATTTTATCTGAATTGCTTATTAAATTACTATGATTATTCATTCACATTTTCACTCAGGGTACCATGTTTGTTTAGTTCTTGGCTTTTAACTCAATACGGTGTAAGAAAATTTTATCTGTAGCAGCTTACTCAGCGTAAAGATACGCCTGAACGACAGGAAAAATAATTCTTCAGTAATTGTCGAAGTAAGCGAGCAACCGAAAATATATAGTACCGATTTCTATAACATGTTCCAGCGCTGGCTTAATAGGAGAGTGTATTGTCCTTATCGCTTCCATACGATATAAAAGAGATGTGTATACGGATGTTTGGCAAACTTACGAAGGAAGGTAATGTAGGGACAGAGCGGAAACATTACTCAATATGGATGGTTTCCGCCATCAACTCGCCTAAACTATTATTCAACTGCTTCCAAATGGCATAATATTGACTTGAGTTTACAGAGTGATATTATTATAAATATTAATTACGGTTTGAAACAAAGCTGTTGGTTGAATTTCTGTTAACACTATTCATTTCATAAAACAGTTTCAAATGAATCAAATGTCGTGTTACGCGGTGTGTGTGAGAGCCACTGTTGTCTGGCGATGCTTAATGGCAAATACATAATTCTTCATTTCCACCAAGAAACAAGTCGTATACTAGTTTTAAACAAAACTTGTTGAGTACTTGTTGTGGCTGTTTAAAACATTTTTTCGTTTACACTGCTTATACAACTAATATCTTACAAGTATAAATCACTCATTTACTTAACATATTTTGTTTATCTAACAAGTTTGATGCAAATATTGTATACTACATGTTTTATACATGTATATAAGTGTGAATAAAAAATTAAGACATTGTTTAAAACTAGTTATACACTGGTGTAAACGAGGGATAAAAATGCGTTGTTGTATCCCGAATGCAAACAAATATATGAATACTCGTAGGAGTAGGCGCCCGCGACTTTGTCTGTGTGAAAATATTAGTTTTCCATACAAACTTTGAACTCCAATTTTACACCCCTTTAGGTAGTTAGTTGTTAATAGGCTGTACTATACATTAGTTGTACTATACATCCAATTTGAATAAAGATATATTGATTTCTGATTTCTGATTATCCACAGACTGTTTGCGTAGGATTCTCGAATTCTTCGGCCACATAGCCAGGAAGAAAAACGATGCCCTGGCAGTGCTCCTGGTGACAGGAAAAGTACAGGGAAGGCGACCAAGAGGAAGAAGTCCCATGCGCTGAACAGCCTAGATCCGTGACAACACCAAAACTGGAGTCCGCGATGCATTATACACTGCCAAAGACCGCAACAAGTGGAAAGCGATCGTCCACAAAATACTTCGTGGAGGTCACGACACAAGGAGGGAGGTAGTTAAAAGTATTGGAAAATCCTTTCTTAGCGCACGCCTACATCAAAATAGCTATTATCTTTATGTCAGTCAGTACGGTTGCCCTTTATACTCGTATATACCGAAAGCGTTAAAAACCTATTACAAATTCTTTTGAACTGATTCACATTATGACAATGTGCAGCAATCATAGGAACTGCTGCAAATGAAAATATTAATTTTATATGCGAACCGTGAACTGTTTCATTTGTCACCCGTCACGGAGTGATTCGCAATCAAAACACTATACATCACGGTCCCAAATACGAGTCTGAAAGATAAAAACTTTTATCGGCGCGATTTATATAGCCATTAAGTTCGCGTAAAAAATGACGCACGAGCGATTCAGAGATAATTGTTTCGTTAAAATTGTTTTTTTTTGATGATTTATGATTAAAACCTTTTTTTATATTTATTTCTTTAGAAAAAACGTTGGTGTACTTTTTTAAATAATAAAGATAAATATTTTCTTATATATAAGACGCTTTAAGACCACTTTGAAACCAGAGCTCTGGTTCTAGGTTGCAAAAGAGCTGCATATTACATTTATAAGAAAACTTGTGTGACCAATAATTTACTATCTCGAGCTCCTCCGTGAGAAAGTACGTTCTCACTGTGTCAGCATAAGCTGAGGCAGTGTCCTGATTGGCTATCTTAGATTTTTATGTCCTTTTTTATTTTTTGTTTCTTTTGGTTAAGTTTTCTTGTATTTCATTTTTTATTTTATTTTTATTGTTGTATTTATAAATTTTTCTTTTGTTAAGATGACTATTAGCAAAATAGCAAAATGACTATTTATAATTTCGTGTAGATCATTAATTGACTACATTGCATAATGTCTAAGATAGCAAAATGACTAGATCTTTATTTGACCACATGAAATAATGACTAGGTTGTTAAATTACTACATCTCTGTTTGTCCACATCTCACAATAACTATGTCACAAAAAGACTAGACAGGGTGATTGACCACATATACTTGTACATCATCATCATCAGCCTATTAATGTCCCCACTGCTGGGGAACAGGCCTTCCTGGATGGAATAGGGAGACTGGGCTATCACCACCACGAGGGCCCAGTGCGGATTGGCTGGTGCTAAAGGCTGCAGATGCAGCTGGGACCAACGACTTAACGTGCCTTCCAAAGTACGAAGGAACTCGTGATAGAAGATTTTTAGTCACCCATCCAATGACCGACCACTGCAAAAGTTGCTTAACTTCAACGATCGCAGCCGAACATGCTAACCACCCGCGCCATCAAGCTCCTCGACAGTACAGTTAAGTATAAAAATGAATCTAGCTTCTCTTCACAAAATAAATGCTTGTAACAGCCCACACTGAATAAATGATTTTTGATTGTGATTGATTTTGCAATCGTAGAAAAATATCTACGCGCATAATTTCCGAACAACTGCATCGAATCGGCTCCCAATGATATGAGTAAAAACTTGGCCGGCCATAGATTCTGACAGTAAATATTGACACGATAAGGGAAAAGTTTGTCCATCTCTGCTCTAGAGTCTAGGCATGGCACTGCCGCATTAGTGTTCGGTTACAGCAAAGGATGACTCTGATGAAGGTCATGCTTAAACTAAAAACAGAATTTTATAGATATTAACGGGATTGTTACCGTCAAGGAAAGCGCCATGATCAGGGAGTAACTGATTGTGTGCCGGGAACAAGAGTGAATAGTGAGAATGTGACCAGTGGTAGGGGTATCGAACGCAGTAAAAGACGACGTCAGAGGGTAGACCGATATGTCTGCCAATTACATCTACCCGCAATTACTTCAGTTACTCCGTGATCATGGCGCTTGCAACAGTGCCGAAATATCGGAGACTCATAAAAAACAAGGTATACGGTAACAATCCCGTTAATATCTATAATGTTAGTGACCATGAAAGTTTAAAACAATAAAAACAGAATATCCATATCTGGCATGGCACTTACGCATTGGTGTTCGGCTACAGCAAAGGATGACTCCGATGAAGTGAACTGTCTTTAGTTTAGGTAAGAAAACTACTAAGAATGTCAGATCGATAAATTATCACGCATTACTATTGCTTGATAATTCGTCAAAACGCCAATAGCTATTTGATTTCGTTTTTTTGCCGCGCTTCTCCTGGTGTGCGCTGCTCCGACTATTTTGAGGTTTTATCATTGACAACTTTCTAGTAATATTACTTTTCTCTATGTTGACAACACTTCTGAAATGTCAGTGTTCCGTCGAAATAAAAATCAACTGTCATGCAATAAGCGTTCCGAAGACTGTGAAACGAATAAGACGGACAACTAGACGAATAATTTTAAGTAGTGTTTCGCAAAGACGAAAATTGGTTTCATTACGAAATCGCCCAATATCGATGTCAGGGAGGCCGTCAAAAAAAGGAGGAGAAAATAATGGCATAACTTGCCGGCAAAGTTATCCGGCCCGTACACATTTATATGATAAATGAAACTTGTTCAGACAGTGGGCACGTAGCAGCGTTTATATGGCGGTAAATTGGTATCGGTTCGTTACTGGCGGGTCGGGTCGGGCGGCGCAACTTTGTGGCGGCCTCAAATTGTCGGCGCGTGACCCCCGCTTCATTAGCCCTACCTGAGACGTCTGTAATTACTCGCGGCCCTATAATTACTTTGATTATGTATCCGCAGATAGTTTCGTAGACTAGAATTTTGCTGTGCCAATTGAAATTTACTGGTTTTCTGCCGAATTAATATTCTTTTGTGCACGGCGAAAAGGAAAGTACTTTATACTTTTGCCAATCACTAT